AACCAGTAAGGATGGACAAGGCTTGTCCCAAATACACAGGAGGAGGCTGACTGCACTGCTCCCATCCAGGTTAGCTCATCCCTGGATCAGTGAAAGGTTACCATAGTTACAAGAAGCACCACTGAGGCTAGGAAGCCAGGGCCCAAATAAATTTCTTTCTAAATAAGCTTCATTTTCCCATGAAATCTACACCTGCCAATTGCATTTCCTTTGGAAGATGTATAAAGATTCATCTTCCAAGATGGATTTGGCTCAAAACTCTAGATCTATGATCTCATTAAATCCTTTCTAGTCTTCAGGCAGTAAGTATTGTTACTATCTCCATTTTACAGATAAGAAAACTGAGCTGAAGCAGGTTAACTGACCCAAGGCCACACAGCAAGTGAGTGGTGCTATGATTCAAATCCAGAGCTCACAGTCTTCCGGAGCCACTGTCCCTGTCGATGGGAGGCTCCTGGAACTATACACCAGCCTTGGTTGGACTGGCACCTTCCTTCCTGGAGACTTTGCTGCCTTCCCTTGCCTCCTTTTAGGGCTCTGGACAAAGGCAGCACTGCTCAGTTCCGTAGTCTAGTCCCCTATTTCTACTCCGAGAGTAACTTAAGCAACAATCTCTAGGACTTCTAGGTGGGACACTAAAGAAATAAATAGTGTCTTCTAGTTACAGCTTCATCCAAAGCAGAAGGGAGCCATTAAGGGCAGTGACAGGATTCAGCCATTTGAAGCCATGAAACCTGCCCTCCTGCAAACGCACAACTGCACGGGCTTGGCACCACTCAACTGCACAATTCATTGTGCATCTAATTAATGGAATGCAAAACCACAGCCCCCTGCAATCCCACACATCAAAGGATGATACTAACACACCTCCCTCACACACATCAGCAGACTCTCACCATATGACTTCATTTGGATATTTGGACAAGTTATATAACTGCTCTGTGCTTCAACACCCCAGCTGATAGATAGCAGTGCTTTGGGCCGCAGCTCAAAGCAACGGGGGAGAAATAAAAAAATGAGGTTTTCTGTTTTGTTTTGTTTCCTGGCGCTGAAGATTGAACCTATAGCCTTGTGTATTAACCTGGTTATAGATAGGGCACTACAAATCTGTCCTCTAGCCTCAGAAACCAGAATATGCAACATTAGCAAATTGATGTCCCTAGGAATCCAACCCTAATATACCTGCCCATAATTATAGCTAAGAAATGAAGAGTACTGAATGAGGATTCTTCTGACTCAGACTGATACAAAACCTAGTTTCTGGGTGCTTCATGACATGATTTCATCTCTCCCAAGCCTGTCTGCCTGTCTCCTTCGGAAAGCCACTGGACTCCTGGGAAGTATCAAAGCTTCTTGAGTAGCACATTTCTTCAAAGAAAATCTGAGGGTTTCACATGGGCCAGGGCCTACAAGAGTCTCAAGCAGCCAGCTTCCCTGTGCCCTCAGTCAAAGCTGATCAACCTTTTACAAATATCTCCATGGATATGATTGCTGCAGATACTAATAATGGTGTCCATATTCTAAGTGCCAGTGCCAATAATGTTGGGTATTATCTCTGCGAACACCAATAACTACTGCTGAGATTGTGGCCACAAATGCCAGCACCCATTGCAATGATTGTCCTCGCTAATGCCCACCATTGTGTCATTGTTAGAGCTGAAGAATAGTCCATGCTGTACCTAGAGGCAGGAGCCGAAGCAGCTCCTGGAGGGCAGCAAGGTGCCTGGCTTGTCTTCAGGGTATGACACTTCAAGGGAGATGCCAAAGAGCCTGAGGCCGAAGGAGGGCCAGTGTGATCAGGGTATCCAGAGTTCTCCTGGAGGGAGATATGCCTGTCCCCCCACTCCCTCTAGGGTCTAGTCCCTGGACATGCATCCGTGGCCTCATTCCAATGCCCTACAGTCCCCCAACTCAGTTTCCCTTTCACCTGCAGTCCTGGGCCAAGAGCTGAAGGACACACCTGGGTGTCTGTGCAGCCTGTGCCCAAGGCTCCTCCTGCTACTGGCCTGCCAGCTGCTATGCTACCTTGGCCTGACTGCAGTGTTGGGCTACATCATCTTGACACATAATTATCTCTCCTATTCTTAATCATCTGAGCTGCTCCCTAATGCAAACCAGACTGGCTGCTCGAAGGCCTCTGGAGTGAGAGAAGGGGAAGAGGGATGTTCAGCTTTACCTTTGTTCTCTCCTTTCCTCTCCTATCCCTTCCCACCTGAGTCCTAGGAATAAAAAATAGGGTGGATGGATTGGAAAGTGATTTAGTGGTAGTGTTTGCCTAGCATGCACGAAGCCCTAGGTTCAATTCCTTAGTACCACATAAACAGAAAAAGCCAGAAGTGGTGCTGTGGCTCAAGTGGTAGAGCACTAGCCTTGAGCAAAAGAAGCTGAGGGACAGTGCCCAGGCCCTGAGTCCAAGCCCTATGACTGGCAAAAAAAATGGGGGGGGGAGGTGCAGGTACTAAGAGAAAGCTGATCTCTTCCCAAACCTGGTCTCCAGGGAATAGAAGTTCAGCTCCTTCATGCCTGAGGCTGGCTAAGAGGAGAGAAGGGGCAGGAGAAATCCTCCCCCCCCCACACACACACAAATAAGCAGTGCCTGGAGATTCTTGCCTCTTGCTGAGATTCATCAGGTAAATATTTAAGAGGAAACTCTGAGGCCCCACACTGTTCTTCACCTGAAGATTTCAACCACTTCCTACACTGTCTGCCTGCTGACATCACTGTCACACTGCTGAGCCCCTCCACCCAGCCCTGCTCCTGTCCCTTCCTGCTCAGACTCCTTCAGGCCTACCCCTTCCTTCAAAAACAAGCCCACCCTTCTTACTTGTCCAGGTATTGGCATATAGCCTGTGACCCTTACCATCTACCTGGCCTTGTCTCACACCCCTCTCCCTCTTTGCTGACAAAGCTACTCTGACTTTGTTGGCCCCAGAGCCTCTGGTCACAAGACCTACTTTATGAGGAAGACTTCCAGGCTATTGTCTTTAAGACTCCCCTCAATTATTACCTAGCCTCTTCTCAAAGAGCAGATCTTCCCGGCAGGGCCCTGGCCCTTCTCCCACCCTTCTTCCCATGCCATCTCCCAGGGCCCAGCAAGACCTCCACTGCACACTGCATCTGATAGCCTTTAGGCTCTCTGCTCTCAGTGTTTTCTGAACCCTGATAGAATGTAAGCTCCTTAAGGATAAGAATCATATCTTGTTCTGCTTGGGGACCCTCTATATCTAGCCTTTCTTGTAGCTGGTGTGCAAGAAATTCATTGAATTGAATTGGCTCGAAACAATGAATGGGAACTGCTCAGAGAAGAGATTACTCTGTTCTGTGCCTGCCTTGCCCCACCCCTGGATGGCCACAGCCTCAGGCCAGTACTTCCCTACCCTCGGCATCCCTTCACAGCTCATCCGAACCCAAGTAGCAGAGGGCAGGCAACCCCCAACTGCAAGCCAACCAAAGAGAGAACAGAGAGGCTTCAGTGGCCTCTCCAATCTCTTGGATATCTCATACACTAAACAAGGCAGGTGGCTAAAGAGAAACCCTTAGGGTTTGAAGCAGACTCTACCAAAGCATCCAGGGTTCCAGGGAGCTTGGCTAAGGCCTGAGTATGGGAAACCCCAGGGAGATCTGGGACTCAGGGCTGTTCACTCGGCCTCCCTTTGCCCATCAGGGGCTGCCGCCAAAACAACCACAATGAAATTTAGTGAGTGGCAAAGGCCGTGGCAGCCAAATGGGTTTGGATATTTTGGAAGAAGGAGAAATAGAGCCAGACAAGCTGTTTCCCTGTGAAACGAGGCCATTAGGGCTTCTGGAAGGAAGCCAGCACCAGGTCATCACTGTCTTGCCAGGCCCAGGCCTCTCCTATACACTCTGGCCCTTCTGCTAGAGGCCAGGGCTCTCATACTCTCTTCTCTCTGCCTGGGCCTGGAGAATATAGACTGTGGCCCAGAGAGACTGTGTCCCTCTCCTCTTGTTCTTTATCAAGTGGCTCCCATCAAAGACCTGTCTATGTTTAGGGTGACCACAGAAGCTATTGTCCAAATGGGACATTCTTGAGAGACAAAGAAGAGGCTGATTGGCAGAGATGCAGAGAAAATAGGCATAAATTGGAACTGGCCTGAGCTGGTGCGAAATATGGTCACCCCTCGCCCCTTATGCTGATCTTTGGAGGATTCTGTAGAGGTCATGGAAGATAGCTATAAAATCCTATACTCTGAAAATCCAGGAGGCTACCACTTCCCTGGCTGAGACTGTGGGAGAACTGGAGCAGGAAGCAAGGTCTGAGACACTGGTGTCTGTTTGCCTGCCCTGACAGCTCTGTACACTGGCCTCATGTATCAGAGGAGAACCAGATGGTCACCAAAGGACCCCTAGTGCTGGCGTATTTGAGAAAGCACCTTGAACCAAGTTCATCCCCATCACTGTCCCCTTATTTTCTTTCTTCCCATCTCCTCTTCATTCCTCATTCCCTTTAACTCATAGCTTAATAACTTGGCTATGCCTTGAGGGCTGCAGAGGAAGAAGGAGATGGGCCCGTGGGGAACCGGAGTGACATCCACTCTCATGGAGAGTCCAGCTCCATGAGGGCGGAGGAAAAAACAAAACCCACAGCCAGTATACATGACATCACCCAGTACCTTCCAATGGGTTGGGATCAAGTGAGGACAAAGTCAGTTGGCCTTTCATCCTTGGTCACAGACCAGCTGTCCTCACAACCTCCTAAGGTAAAAGGTTCACATGTCTCCTCCTGGCATCCCATAGGGAGAGATGGGGTGTGTCTCAGCAGAAGGTGAAGCCCTTAGGGCTGAGCAGATGGTGAAGCTAGTGGCCCCACCAGCAGCCTCCCTCCCACTCTCCAGGAGCCAGCAGGGCAGTGGGGGTACCTGGGCTTTGCAACTAAAACTGATCTCACAACAGAGCAGCTGCAAGGCCAGGCAGAAACCGGAGCTCTGAGTCCAAGGACAAAGCACGCAGAGGGGAAGCCAAACCTCTTCCCTCCTCCCTACCTTCATCACGTTTCCTCTTCTCACCATTGGAGCGAGGTATCCCTAGGATCCCATTGATGGAGTAGGATCCCACTGGGTCATTGGAGGCGCTGGAAACAGGAGGGGAGGCAGTGCTGGGAACTGGACAAGAAGAAGAAGGAAATGCCATCAGGATAACAGGTGTGGTCTCAGGCCAAAGCCCCACGGCTGGGGGAAGAAAGAAGCAGAGGACAGAAGGAGGGATGCGGAGCCTAGATTCCCCTTCTTCCTGAGGCTGAAGGGAGGAAACATCGACTTGCGCAGTTTAGGCTGTTACTCCTTCTGTTCAGCCCATGCAAAGTAGTGACCAGTCAACTCAGGCTTCTGTAGCCTATGGTTTCACTGGGTCCTGGAGCACCTTCTCTGTAGATAGACTGTGTATAGGCCTAGGAAACCCTAAGGTTGGTTTAGTTTAGAAAGTACTTTGATGGCTTTCTAGGGAGCATGGGTCTTAGAATACCTTTTGAATAGCACATCCAATTAGGGTCTGGGCAAATTCTTCCCCCCTCAAATCCCAGCTCATCATTCCTTTCTCCTGAGCAGTTTTTACCAGCTACTATTTGGAGCCTATAGCTCTGTGATAATTCTGTTTCTGACTCTGGGAATCTCAAAGCTTGTTCTAATACTTCTCAGAAGCATACAGTTTCTCTCTCCCCCCTCCCCCCTCAGTTGCTTTTGGTCTTGAAACCACTTAAAAAGTTCCTAAATTCCCCCTCAGGGGACAGACTATGACCCCATTCACTCTGCCATGGTGAGCTCAGGTACAGCCTGGTCCAACCCTCCCTCCCAGCACACGCTGTTACCTAGGCCTGGCAAACAAAGGCTCCTGCCAACTCCAGGAGGGCTGGGACCAGCCATTTCTACTTCCTGTTGGTCAAGAGAGAAGGGGATAGCTGCCAAGAGCAGTAGTAAGACAAATGTAATTGCATCCCATTTCTTTGGACTCCAGGCCTCATCTATGGTGACAATAGCATGAAGCACCAAGAGCCAAAGATCAGTTTGTGTGTGTGTGTGTGTGTGTGTGTGTGTGTGTGTGTGTGTGTGTGTGTGTGTGTGTGTATGCATGGTGATGGGAAAGTGTGCCAGCCGGTGTGTTGGCAGGCCTGGGACATGCCGTTGAAAGACCCTGAGTTGAGTCAAGAACTGAGATAGGAAGGTTGGAGAGAGGCAAAAGGCTACATCATGGATGAAGCAGAGACAAAGAAATCAGGAGAAACCGTGCCCTGTGGCTCATGCCTGTATGCCTAGTGAATCAGGAGGCTGAGATCTGAAGATCATGGTTCAAAGCCAGCCCAGGGAAGGAAAAATCTGTGAGACTCTTATCTCCAATTAACCACCAGAAAACTGGAAGTGGCTCTGTGGCTCAAAGTAGTAGAGCTCTAACCTTGAGCAAAAAGAGCTCAAGGACAGTGCCTAGGCCCTGAGCTCAAGCCCCAGGACTGACAAAAAGAAAAAGAAAGAACGAAAGAAAAGAAATCAGGAGAAACAGGCCAAAGGAAGAGAGACCATGAGGAAGGAAGAATGGAAACAGGGATAGATCGAGAGCCACACATACAAGAAGAGGAGGGGAGAGGAAGAAGAGAAAAGGGTTGGAAGGGGAGGTAGAGAAGAGTGAATGGAGAAGGAAGAAAGGGAGGGGAGGGAGATGACCGAGAGAAAGGGAGGGAAAGGATGCAGAGGAGGGGTGGGGAGAGAAGGGAACAAAGGGTAGAAAGGAGACAAGGTGGGATAATTTGAAACAGAAATGGCGTAAGAAAGTAGCTATGAAAGAAAGAAGAATATACAGAATTAAAAATTTAAAATATAATAGAGCAAAAGAAAGAAGGGTAAAAAGAAGAATTACTAAAAATAAAAATAAGTTAGAGAGAGACAATATAGACTAAATCAGAGGATGGGTGGGAGGATCTCAGGGAGACTCTGGGCCTCTAGGAACTCAGGAACAAGAGGAAACATGGTGTGGAAAACAGGGCAGACCCTAGAGGTCATTGAAATGGGCAGCTCCCAGGACTGGTCTGTATCTTGGCTTTTCTGGGCCAGCTTGTCTTTCCCTCCTCCCCGAGCCCTCTTACCGATGGTGTGACCAGGAGCAGTCACTCCTGTCCCTGCCCCATCCGGCGTTGGGTGGAAAGGCTGCTGAACTTTGGTCCGGATGATCCTGCAACAGCATCACAACAGTATCACACATCACACTGCCCTGGCCAGTGCCCTCCCAGGCTCCTCAGCTTCATCCTCATCCCTTGAGTTTTGGTAGCAAAGATGGGGGAGAGGGAACAACTGCTCTGGTGGCTGGTTGCCCACCTTTCTTTTCCCTCCTCAATTTGACATTTTCTGGTACCAGGACCTCCTGTGGCTGGACATCATTTTGGAGCTAGTTTTATAACTGGGACCTTATCATAGTCCTCCAGATTTGAAAAGAGGGTGCTTTTCCAATACCCCAAACTAAGGAAAGTAGAGAGGGAAGTGCTAGGCCACTGGATCTTAAGCCAAGCTCACCTCAACCAGCCAGGTGAGTTATAAGCCATGAGCCAATTCAGCTTTAATCAGCTTTTGCTGAACACTTGCAAGCTGTAGGAATGAGACCCTTGCCTTCCAGTGTTTTAAGATAGTAATCTGGGCTGGAAATGTGGTTTAGTGATAGAGTGCTTGCCTAGCATGCATGAAACCCTGAGTTTGATTCTCCCTTACCACATAAACAGAAAAAGCCAGAAGTGGCACTGCGGCTCAAGTGGTAGAGCGCTAGCCTTGAGCACCGAGAGGCTCTGGGACAGTGTCCAGTCCCTGAGTATAAGTCCCAGGACTGGCAAAAAACAAAAACAAAAACAAAAACCCTAATCTGTCATGACAATGGCAACCTGAAGACTGAATGAAGGTATGTGTGTATAAGAAGAAGCACACACTTGGGTATCTGGATAGTTATTAGTGACACAGGGGAGAAAAGTGTCATCCTAGAGGCTGAAGCAGGAACCAGGCAGAGCAGGGTTAGAGAGCACCTGGAACCAGGAGACAACAAAAGTAGCCAGCTGCATGGGAAGTAGAGAACAGATCTGGCTGTGGAACGTACAGAGAGTGTTTCAGTACAAGAACAATCATCTGGATACTTTTGTGGGCTGAAGGAAAAATCCATGCAGAGGGAAAGCCTGAGGCTGCCAAAGAGACTGGAGACAGAGCAGGGCAGCGCAAGGGGGGAGTGGGGCAGAGGGTTAGCCAAGCACAGCAAAGCTCTGAAAAGGAGTTTTTATGGCTGTTTGCTCTCAGTAAAACAGAAGTTAGGTAATCTCTGAAGAGTTGGGGAGAAGCCTGATTACTGTGGGAAACAATCAGACAGTAGTTGAGAACGGTGTAGGCTCATCGACAGGAAAATTCTAGAAGGATGTTAGGCATCTCAGAAGTTGCTGCTCCTGATTTGGGACAGCACAAACTTCTAGGGTGCTGCAGGGCCTGTGGTGGCTCTGTGTGGGCCAGTGGGCTCTGGATGAAGGAAGCCAGGGAAAGGTCTGGGAGAGACAGATAACTGGACAGGCTGGTGGAGTTTCTGTCTTTGTTACCCAGGGCCCTTTGACCCCTGGGTTCCTGGTACAGATTTAGCTGAGGCAGCAAGTGATGGAAAATCACTACACCCTGACAGCAGCTTGGTGGCGCATGGGAGAAGAGCTGGGCAGAGTGCCTGCTATGTTACTAATGCCATTGGTATCCATTCACGACCTCAGGCAATGGGGCCTAGCCAGAGCTAAATGGAGAATTTAAGAACAAGAGTCTTGGACACCTGATGGCCATCCAGTGCCCATGCCATATACAACCAATGTGTGGAAAATGGCCCTAGGGGTTAAAGCATAAACCAATGGCTTAGGATGACTCCTTGGGGCATTTTCCCACATTCCTCCTACTCCATCTCGAACTATTTTTTCAATCTTGGCCCCACAAGTCAGCCAGACACATCTGTATTCTTTATAACTCCAGGTAAGTTTGGCCTGGTATTGCTCCCTACTTCCCAGTAGATTTTCCTACCCGGGATGCTCTTTCTTCACTCATTTCAGATGAAAGCTTGGCTTCCTTGGGCTTTGGCCTATACCCAGCATGGAATCTCAAGCGCTTAGAGTCTCACATTCATAAGAGCATACCCTTGCATAGCAATAGGTTCCAGGCTCAGCCTGCCTCAGCTAGAATCTCAACTCCGTGACATACTGCCTGCAAAACCTAGGCAATTTCTTTTTCTCTTCTCTGTAAAATCAGGTAATATGATTATGTACTTTTCAGGCTTGAACTGAGTATTAAGTAGAATAATCCACATAAAGTGATTAGAATGATGATTGGCTCAATAAGTGCTAGCTATAATAATAATGTCCACTAGTATTATTATTCCTATAGGCAACTCCTAGTCATGGTTGCTTTCATTTAAGGATGAGCTGGAGGAAGGCAGGAGGCCTCCCTACTCAATATGCCCCAGCTTTGTAGATACAGATGCTATTGAGACCCTTGGAAGAGCATGAAAAAGATAGGAAACAGCTATAGCACGGGTTAAAGGATAACCCCCAAAAGAGGCAGTATTAGAAAGAATCCCAAGAAGACAGACTGGGTTCTGGATCACACGTAGGGACATGAGGACGAATTCTAGAGAATCTAGGAGGTGGCAGGAGGTGGGGGTACAGGTGTGTGGTGGGACTTTAAAGGATGATAAGACTGGTAGTGAGGTCAATTCTTCTTCAGTTAAAATCCCAGGAAGGCTCTACCTCCATTACCTTGGAGACCGAAACATGTTCACTGCCTCTGTAAATTTGAATGGAAGGCCTCGGCAACAGTCTATCAAACTTGTGAAGACAGAACAGAGACGGGGTCTCAAACCATTGAAGATAGCTCAGGGGAGACTCGCATCATCTCTATTTGCACCCTTTTTTTCTTCTTCCTCTCATGGTTTACTTCTTTGTCTCTCCCTCTCCATCTTTTTCTGCCCTTCTCTCCATCTCCCTCTCTTTGTCCATCTGTCCATCTCCTTGCACCCTGAAGTCCCACTGTGGCTGTGTGAGTTTATTGATTTCTGGGAGCTGGGGGAAAGCAAGAGGCAGGGCTGGGGTGCAGTCTCCAGGATGGAAATAGAAGGCTATAAATTATTTGTGACAGGAAAGCAATAGTGGCAGAGTGCTGAGCACAAGTCCTGTGTCACTATTAGATTCCTTTTAGCCTGATGACACTGTAAAAAAGGTTAAGTGTCTGCTGGAATCGTACACCTGGGGGGCCGGGGCAGCCTGGGAGCAGAACAAGCCAGTGAGAGCAGGTATATCAATTCTCCAGGCCAATAATATTCCTCTCATTGATCGCCACGCAAAGTTCAAAAATCTCATTACAGCCAGGCAGACCGGGAACTTTTTACAAATCAATACAATGATATAATGTATGTATACTTAGTACAAATGTATCTATTCATCTATCCATCCATCCACGGTCTGCCTCAGGGTTTCCAAGTTAACCTACCCATCATATTATGTTATGTTATGTATGATATTATATTGTCTCACATTATATGATAATAAATGGTGTGCAAAAACTTTCCCTTAGGTAGAAACAAGAAGAGGTCCTATTAGCATTGAGGTGACCTCAGACATCTCACCTTGGAGGGAATGAGGTGACAGCATTTCCAAGATTAGGCTGATCAGGACTTCAAGGAGCTATGATTCTTCAACAGAGGCTCCAGTCATAAAACCTACTGTCTACTAAGTATTTCCTATGTGCTAGACAATGTTCTATTTGTATTTTGAATAAGTAATTCGCTTAATCTTTACATCACCCATTTTACAGTCAGGGCATGCTATAATTTGCTTACCATCATCCATTTATCAATCTGACAGTTGAATTTAAGGAGACTAACTCTAGGCCTCATACCTTCACTCACTGAACTATACTACTTTCAAAAGCAGACACTCAAAAGTCCAGAATTCAAACTCCTAGATTCTTGCCTCAGTCCCATGTTCTGAGAGATGCAGGGTAAGGCTCTCCTTCAAACATCAGAATTTCTCACTGGAGAATGGGAACAATGATATTGGTTGGAACCAGCCAAGAACAGTATGTGTATATGATATCTCCAAGCATGTACCCATGAGATCCTGCCTAGCTGCCTGGAACAAACTGTCTTCCCAACTTGGTAATTACTTCTCAGAAGAACAGAAAGAATGGGCTACCTCAAACTTGTTTATATCACTGGTTTGCTCAAAGGGCCATGGGAGCAAAATGTCAAGAATCTACATGCATCTGCTATATACATGTATACATCATATAAAGCAGCTTATTCTAGAGTAGACAGTCTATTTCAAGGTCTAAAAGCAAAAAATTCAAATCTATGGCAAGGGGAAAAAATCCTCCCTGGTTTGAAAAAATTAAAGGAACTCTCAGATAGAGACTGTTTCAGCCTAGCTGGCCCTATTGCCACTGAGCCAGACAGGTGGTAGGCGGGACCTCTGCCAATGACTTCAAGCTGCTTGAGTGCTCTACACAGGATCATTCTAAAACTATATTTGCTCCAGCAAAGGATATTCTACCCTCTGAATACAGGTAATTGATTCAACTTGAATCTTTGAGAGCTGCCTTTATCAGGACTGTATGCTTGGCTTGGCCCTGAGGCAAGTGAGCAAACAGCTAGAGACTTTCCATAGCAAATCGTCAGTGAGATGTCGTAGATCACCCAGGAAGTCTTTATGTTTCCTGAAAGTGGTGCCTACTCCTGAGAACTCTAAGAAACTGGAATCTTCCCCTCTGTATATAGTATATACGGTTCCTATAGGAAACAGTAGTCATTCTATACATGACCTCCCTGTTGGTAGACCTGCTCTATGCAACTTGCTTTTCTTATAGGCTTTGATTCTGTGGTTAAAGTAGTATAGGGATATTGTCCATGCTTATTCACAGACCCTGCAGGTTTTGGTTTGGAACAACTGACCATATGTCAGGGTTCTGTGAAGAAGCATGCCACCTATGAGAACCTGGCTACTCTTGAGAGCTGGGGGCAGACTCTTCCATTCTGGATTTAGTTGGACACACAAGTTCCAGGTTACCAGGGCTCTTCCCAAATGTGTCAAAAGCTTCTGTCCTTTTGCCACTTCTCAGAAGTCATAATTAAATATGAAGAAATGAAAGCTCTACCAAAAAGCTTGCAGAAGGATATCCCCA